AATAGGCGAGAGCGGTCCATGAGGGTCTATCCTTATGTTGTGTCTATGGTCCAGAGGCTCAGGACCTTCTTCTTCTCCTGCTCAGTGGAACTTCCCCAGCGCCATGATTACCAGGAAGGTTGGCGCCGCCCTGGCCGCCGGCTGCACCGTGGTGGTGAAGCCGGCCGAGGACACGCCGCTGTCCGCCCTGGCTCTGGCCGAGGTCAGCCTCCGTCTCCGGCTCCGGTCCCAGTCTGGTCCGGTCCTGGTGTTCATCCTGCCTCCTGTCTCCTGCAGCTGGCGCAGCAGGCGGGCGTCCCGCCGGGTGTGGTTAACGTGGTTCCCTGCTCCAGGGAGAAGATGACCGCCGTGGGCCGGGTTCTGTGCTCCGACCCGCTGGTGGCCAAGATCTCCTTCACCGGATCCACGGCAACCGGGAAGGTGAGACCGGACTCCACCGGATTGGACTGGACCGGCTGAGGTTCTCAGCCGGTCTTCTCTCTCCTCCAGGTGTTGCTGAAAATGGCCGCCGACTCAGTGAAGAGGGTTTCCATGGAGCTGGGAGGCCACGCCCCCTTCATAGTGTTCGACAGCGCCAATGTGGAGCGTGCGGTGGGCGGAGCCATGGCCTCCAAGTTCAGGAACTCGGGACAGGTGAGGCGGGAGGGCGGGGCTGTGCTGGTGTGACGCAGCGTCTGGCTGACCGCTCCTGACCGCCCTGCAGACCTGCGTGTGCTCCAACCGCTTCCTGGTCCAGAGCGGGATCTACGAGCGCTTCCTGGACGGGCTGGGCCGCGCCATGGACGCCGAGCTGCATCTAGGCCATGGGTCGGAACCGGCCACCACGCAGGGACCGCTCATCAACGCCAGAGCAGTGGAGAAGGTTGGACCCAAAGCCAACGACCCAGAACACTTCCAGAACCAGAACCGCCTGCTCTGCCTCTCACTGGGCCTTTACTGAATCAATCAGGGTGCATTCTGGGAAAAACTCTGGTTTCTGGACCAGAACCTTTTCCAGAAAACACTGGATGGTTCTGGATCCAGTTTAGGTCTGGATCACGATTTAATGGTTTCAGATCAATCTATCGATAATTATTGATTAGCTTTTTGCTTGAAGTATCTGAAATCCTGTTTGTATTTTAGCCTAAAACTGCTGCTGCGCTCCTTCAACAGGTAGTTGCTAGGCAACCAAAAGTGAGCGGGTTTGTTGTGGCTGCCCAGCTAGCTTAGCTAGCCTTGAGTTTGAGTGGCTAGAGCCTTTCCTCTGCCTATATCTGCCAGAATGCTTCGCAGTAGGGCTGGGCGATATATCGAGTATACTCGATGTACCGGGATATTTTCAATTTACGATTGTTAAAATGGCTATATCGCAACTACCGAGTATAAATTGTTGTTCAAATAATAAACTTTCGCGGTCAAATTCACTGCGAGTATGGTTTATCCGAAACCCTATGAATGCATCACTAGTCTGAAGAGGAGTCAGATGAACTCGTCTAGTTCCGGACAGAATCAGCGCTGGACCAATAACTTGGCAGTAGTTTGGATTTTATATGGAGGATGTCGAACAAAATGAGGTCATTTGCGAAACATGTTATAAAACTATTGCGACAAAAGGCTGAACCACAAAGTTACTTTCCCCCCTAATCAGACTATTCTTTGAACGGTTTCACTTCGTTAAAGTGAAACCTGGAGACGTAGGTAGGATTCGTTTAGTGATATGCAATGGGAAAAATAACTCAAAACCTCTCGCTCTCTGTTGGATTTACGATACACGCAGACTCGTTGCCACAGCAACTGACAACAATTCAGCACCAAAAACTCTCAAACATTACCCCACATAGAGCAGAACATTCAGTTCGTTACAGTTTTCGGTTTATAGGCTTGATGTGTATTTTGCGATTATTAATAAGTGATCACTGTGGTAGATTAGCCACCGCTGCTATTAGCCATGCTGCTGCTATTAGCCACGCTAACACAGCGGTGGTAGATTAGCTAATTTAAACACCTGCTTCACTGATGATCTGTCAGTTTGTGTGTAGGTCGCCTTTTTATTTCTAAACTGAACCAAAACACACCTTATTCCACAGCACAAATATGTGCTGTGGAATAAGCATTTGTCAAATGAAGCATAACTGACCTACTTCCTTCGTCCTCGCTATTTTGTTCTCAGTTTAAACTTATTTCTCACCTTGTTATCAAGTCATAGTGTAGACAGTTCATAGCAAAACACTGCATCCCTTTTAATATGAGCTTACAGGTAAGTAGCAGGGAAATAGGCGGGAGCTGGCCTGGGTGACATCATGCTGCAAGGAGTCTATAGTTTAAAATAACATTGGAGCTCAATTAAGAATATTGATATATATATCGAATATCGTGATATAGCAAAAATATATCAGGATATTAGATTTTCCTCATATCCCCCAGCCCAACTTTGCAGTTCTGATCACAGTTCAGTGAAACTGATATTGATCACATGTTCATATTATATTATTGATTTAATGCCCAGGCCTAGTCCAGTGGTTCCGGATCAGACGGTTCTGGATCTGTTGGGGGTCGGATGGTTCTTCAGCTGGTTGGATGGGGTTCTGATGAGGTTCTGATGGGACGGCGTCTCTGCCCCAGGTAGTCCATCATATAGAGGACGCCGTGTCTCGTGGTGCCCGGGTTCTGCGAGGCGGGAAGCGTCTGGACGGGTCGTTCATGGAGCCAACCCTGCTGGCGGGCGTCACCACTGACATGCTGTGTACGCAGGAGGAGACGTTTGGACCGCTGGTTCCGGTCATCAGGTTGGAGTGGCGGGTTCTGCTCTGGGGGCGGGCCATCCAGGTCCGAACCAATCAGCAGCTGTTTTCCTCGTTTCCAGGTTCGAGACAGAAGAAGAAGCTCTTGCTGTGGCCAACGCTGCCAACGTCGGGCTGGCAGGTGAGAAGGTCCGGTTCCCCTCAGGCTCTGCAGAACCTGAACTCAGACAGATCTGGTCCCAGTAGAACCACCGTGAAACCAGTAGAGAAACCGGTGTAGTTAAAGCAGGGGGGGGCAGCTCCAGGCCTGGAGGGCCTCCTGCAACTTTTAGATGTCTCAACTTCAACACACCTGAGTCAAACACTGAGGCCGTTAGCAGAACCTGACTGCACTGAGGAGGAGATTCAGCTGCTGGATTCAGGTGTGTTGGACCAGGGAGACGTTAGAGCTGCAGGACTCGGACCTCCAGGACCAGGATTGCCCACCGCTGAGTTAAAGTGTCTTCGAGACACTTTACCTGCTGAGCTCAGGTGGTACCAGTCAGTCCAGTTAGAGGAAAGTGGAAACTCATATTTAACACGACTGCCTGCAGAAGAAGAAAAAAAACAAAATAAGGAGGGACATGCTAGCACCGCTAGCTCAAAAGTTAGCACCGCTAACTCTAAAGCACTGATTATATGTATTATGTCTGCTAACTCCACACTTGCATGCCAACATAGTATTTAGGGTGAAGCTAACACTAAAGCGCTATGCCAACATGGTATTTAGGGTGAAGCTAACACTAAAGCGCTATGCCAACATGGTATTCAGGGTGAAGCTAACGCTAAAGCGCAATATCCCTGAACTTTCTTCAACTGAAAGTTTACTTAACAGCCCAGTAAATTAGCCCTTCAAGATTGATTTTGAAAAATGTATTAATTTAGGGATTTCTAAATGCAACATTAGCTCCTCTATTAACGTGTTAGCTTAAGGGTTCCCACCACTCAGTCTGAAGATCTTGTGATGTCAGTTTGAACCTCAGATTCTCCTCAGGCTTTAGATCGGAATCCACAAGAATCAAACCCACAAAGATCGTCTGTGACGCCTCCCTCCTGGTTCTGATCCAGTTCTGCGCTGTCTCTGCTTCCAGGATACTTCTACTCGCAGGACGTGGGCCAGATCTGGCGGGTGGCCGAGGCGCTGGAGGTGGGCATGGTGGGGGTCAACGAGGGGCTCCTGTCCGCCGCCGAGGCCGCTTTCGGTGGGGTCAAGCAGTCCGGCCTGGGCAGGGAGGGATCCAAGTACGGCATCGACGAGTACCTGGAGGTCAAGTACATGTGCTTCGGAGGCCTGAAACCCTGAACCGGGCCGGAGCTGGTACCGGCACCATAGACAGGAAGGAGTGAGAGCTGCTGATCAACATGACCCAGGAAGCTTCCCAACCCTCCAGCATGTCTGCTGCCATCATTAATAATTATAGTCAGTTAGATTTCTAATGTACTTTACATTTTAAAATCTCAACATTCAGGATCAAATATATAGTAAAAATAAGACAAATCTAAAAAATTTTTAAATAATGAACTAAATACCAGGATTAATAATTAAATAAATGTACAGAAACATTAAAATCACCAGGATTTAAAATAGTTTTTTTATTATTATTGCTGTTTTTTTCTATATAAGTAACATTTTTATGTCTTAAATTGTTCAACTTTCCTGTCTGATCTGCTGCCTGGTTCCACTAATTAAAGGTTCAGTGTGTAATGAACACTGCCATCTGGTGGTCAGGGAAGGTATTACAGCCATTAGGTTTAATGACCCCATTTCCTCAGACTGAGCATGTTAAACATGGTTTTGTAATTTCTGACCCGAAAGTGATTTTATGTTTTTCCCTCAATTATTTTGGAAGGGCTAAGCTCCGCCCACTTTTACACATCACGTCCTAGAAGCTGTTTGATTGGCCCCAAACTTACAGAACCCCTTGCCTGATGCATTCAGGCAACAAAGTGCAGAAAAAACCCAACTGAAGTTGGAGTTTCATGTTGACTTTAATCTGATGGATTTTGGATGAATCCAGAATCTGGGTTTCCTGCTGGAACCGGGTCGGTTCTGCTGCAGATGGAGATCTGTGGGTTTGTTGGATGCTAGATGTTCAGTTGGTAACAAAGTGTCTTGGATTATTCTGGAAAACTTTGCTGTTTAGATTTTTGTATGTTTGTGTTTGATCTGAAATAAACTGATGGATGAATTCATGTTTTATTTGTTCGGCTTCTCCTGAAACTTTGACCATCAGAGAAAATTAATGTCTGGTTCAGTTAAATCACGAGATATGAAGCGACATGGAGCTGGTTCTGGTGAGACGTTTGGGTTCACCAGGATGCTAAATAGTCCCAGCTGGGTTCGGTTCTGGTTCTGATGGTTCAAAATGAGCAGCGACATTAAAGGAACAGTCCAACAGGCCCAGATGAACAGAGCCTGAACTCATGTCTTGGTGCTGCCCCCTGGAGGCCAAGTCTTTGCTTCATGAACGTTTCTCTGGGAAGAACAAATGAAACCTGTGAACCGAACATGTGCTGCCACCAGGAGGCGCCGTCCAGACTTCCTGTCTTCACCCGAAGGCGTTCCCATTGCGCGCGGCCTGGGAGCTAACCCGGTTCCGGTTGCGGACCGGCCGGCTGAAGACGGAGTCCTGGTCGCTGTCCAGCTCTGACTCGGACATCATGAGGCTGGAGTTGTGCTCCGTGCTGCGGTGCTTCAGACCTGTGCAGGACAGGGGCGAGTTACTGAGCGGGAACGTTCGGATCCATCCAACAGAACCGTCATCTGTACTGGAAAAGGTTCTGACCAGACCGGTCCCCTCCCCAGAAAGGCTGGGATTAGCTTTCATCCACAGCTGGATGAGACACAAACCATTTTTACTTTTTATATTGCTTTGCAGAAGGTTCACCCCCAGATTAAACCAGAATTAAACCCGTATTAATCCCAGAATAACCCGTTAGTCGTACTTCTGCACCTCTTGAATGGATGTCGGATCAGATCGTTGTGAGATTTTCATGTTTAGAAATTCTCTGCTGTTTTTGTTGCTTCATTGAAAAGTTTTGCTGCTAATTCCAGTAAAATTTCAATCAGAAATTGGGAAAAGAGTGAATCCTTGTCACTCTGGGGTTTCCTGAAGGGCAGGGCAGGGCGGTCCGGTCCGGTCCAGAACCTGCAGAGCCGGTGGACAAACTCACTGAATCTGGGCCGTAGCTCCAGCCGCTCCTGCTCGTCCATGTCGTCCAGGATGGTGTACCTGGTCTTCTTCCTGCCCTTGCTCTGCTTCCTCCTGCAGACACACAGAACACCGAATCGGACCCGGTGGATTCCGGATGGGATCCTGACCCAGAGGTCCAATCTCACCTCCGGCTGCAGCAGACGAAGGTCCAGCTGAGCGACAGGATGAGGACCATCATCAGGAAGCTGCTCAGGATCACGAACAGAACCCTCCACTCTGAGGGGACGAGCAGAGCCGGGTCAGAGGCCGACCACAGGGAACATCTTTAGAGCCACCGGCTCAGGAATGAGGATAAAAATGTTACCACAGTTACTCTCTCCGTCCCCGAGGTAGAGCCGGATCAGGTTCTCTGTCCAGAACGGGTCACAGGAACACTGTTTGGTGATTGGATCACACTGGCCCCGCCCTGAACAGCTCAGCTCGCACGCTAACGAAACAAATGACACCAGAACACAAAGAGAAAGCAAACATCCATTTCCTTCTTATCCGGGGTCGGGTCATAAGGTCAGCTGCCTAATCAGGAGTCTCCAGGGGAAACAGCAGGCCAGCAGAGAGACATCGTCCCTCCAGCGTGTCCTGGGTCTCCCCTCCTCCTGGTGGGACCTGAACTCCTCACCAGGGAGGCGTCCAGGAGGCATCCTGACCAGATGCCCGAGCCACCTCAACTGGCTCCTCTCGACGTGGAGGAGCAGCGGCTCTACTCTGAGTCCCTCCCGGATGACCAAGCTTCTCATCTCTAAGGGAGAGCCCAGCCACCCTGCGGAGGAAACCCATTGTGGCCGCTTGTATCCGGGATCTCGTTCTTTCGGTCATGACCCAAAGCTCATGACCACAGATGAGGGTAGATCGACCGGTAAATCGAGAGCTTCACTTTTTGACTCAGCTCTCTGTTCACCACGACGGACCGGTACAGCGCCCGCTTCACGGCTGACGCTGCCCCAATCCGCCTGTCGATCTCCCGCTCACTTCTTCCCTCATTGGTGAAGAAGATCCCCAGATACTTAAACTCCTCCGAGGGCAGCCCTGGCGGAGTCCAACTCGCCCTGGAAACGAGCCCGACTTAACGCTGGCAATGCGGACCAGACCCTGGCACCGGTCATATAGGGACCTGACAGCCCGTATCAAAGGTACCTCATACTCCCAGAGCGCCCCCCACAGGGCTCCCTGAGGGACAAGGTTCAACGCCTTCTCCAAGTCCACAAAACACATGTAGACCGGTTGGGCGAACTCCCAGAACCCTCCAGGACCCTGCTGAAGGTGTAGAGCTGATCCGGTGTTCCACAACCAGAACCAGAACCACACTGCTCTTCCTGAATCCGAGATTCCTCTCCAGGACCCTAAACGGACCTTGCCAGGGAGGCTTAATAGTGTGACTCTACCGTTCCCCTTTTGAATAAGAGACCGCCACTCCGGTCATCCCAACCTTAAGGAACTCTGAATCTTAACTATTCAGAGTTCAGGTGAATAGTTACGGTGTTGTGGAAAGGGGTACCCATGTCTGCTTTTCAGGCTGTGGGTTAAAGCCAGGGCACCAGGAGCTGGCCAGGGAACACATTGGTCTATTCATCTTTAGGCTGAACTTTATGTGGTGACCCTACGAGGAGCATGAGGCCCCTGATGGCACAGCTGACGCTGGGGCACTCAGACCCTCCACTAGGTGGCAGCCAGGGACGGGCTGACCACAGACAAACAGGAAGTAAAGCTAAGAGCCAATCGGAGTGACCCAGCCAGGGGAGCCATCTAAACATCCCCAGCAGACACATGTTCCCCGATGGTTCTAGATGGTTCCACTCTAAAACATGAACCCGGACCGGTCGGGACCAGAACTCACCCACAGTGTCGACTCTCAGCACCTTGAATAGCAGGAAGTCACTCTTGTCTCGGAGCAGCTGCTTCCTGAGCAGAACCACCAGGCTGGAGGCCGGGACGGGTCCGGTTGGGCCCTGGACCCAGAACTGCAGAACCGTGCTGAAACAGAACAGCAGAGCAGAGTTCTGATCCAACTAGCAGCCAGCAGGTACAGGTACAGTGAGCGGCGTCTATTTGGGCCTGTCCCAGTCCGAGTTCTGATACCTGAGTTGGGTCCGTCCCTGCAACGCCCGGACCCGAATGTCCCGGTCCAGGACGTGGATCAGTGCGGCGAGCTGCCGGACCAGTGTGTCCCTCTGAGCCACGCTTACCTGAGACACTGCCACCAGCATCTCTAGCTCCACCTGCTGGCCGCCGCCTGGTTCTGCACAAACCAACACAGAGGTCCGTTTACCCTCAGAACCTCAGCAGAACCTGAGCTGTGCGGCGGCCTACCTGGCCGGACTTCCACGGTGGCAGTGGCGGTGCTGACCCGGCCCTGAGCGTCCGTCACCCTCAGCTGGAACAGGTAGGTTCCCTCCACTAGGTCCGACAGGTACAGGACTCGCCGGGTCTCCGAGCCGAACAGGACCTCCTGCACAGAACCGGGAGGTTACCTGAGCGGGCCATTTGGGCCTAAACCGTTCAGAATGGGTGGTACCCCGGCTGCTGGACTCTGGCTGTCCCTGGTCCACCGATACTGGACCTCCGTCTGGTCTCCATCAGTAACTGACCCCTCCAGAACCACGGAGCTGTTGGGCAGAACCAGAACATGGCTGCCGCTGGCGTGCGCCACTGGAGGAAGACTGCGGGCTGCAGGGGGAAGGAGACAAGTAGTACCAATCAGAACCAGAACCAGAACCTACAGCAGAACTCACCTTCCTGGACCCGCACCGACAGAAAGGCGCTGTCTGTCGCCCCCTGCTGGTCCGACACTGTCAGCTTGAACGCATAGCGCCCCTCTCTTAGGCCCGTCGCCATGGCAACCGCCCTGTCGGCATCCTGCAGCCGCAAACCAGGAGGACCGCTGCGGACACAGGTGGCAGAGAGTCCGTCAGGTACCGAGCTGCCGGTTCCGGTCCCGGTCTGCAGAGCTGCTCACCTCACCACCTCCCAGCTGTAGCCGCTAACGCCGCGGTCGTCGGTGCTGCCGCTGCCGTTGAGCAACAGGCTGGCACTCAGAGGGAGAACCAGACGGAGGTCCGGACCCACAGCGGCCAGTGGGGCTCGGTTCGGCCCCTGGGGTTCTGCTGGGGCCGGAGGACAGACAGAACCTCAGAGAAAGAACCAGCTGAAACGATCAGAACCGGGCTGCAGGTCGACATACCTGCAGTAGTCGGGGGGAGAGCGGCTGAGGAGGAGAGGTCAGAGGTCACCTGGATCAGCGGGTCTGTGGTTGAAGCCTGGAGAACCTTCAGAGGTTCTGTCAGAACAAAAACAACTCCAGCATTAAGCTTCTGTCCAGAACCAGAACCCTTTGCAGAACTTCGGATCAGACCT